CTAAATCAGCATCCCAGAAAAAAAAAATTTGATATCAATAACCAGAAAAAAGCATTGAGTGACCTGCAAACAATGTGACCACAAAAAGGGGAAAAATTCAAAATTAGTCCCACAGATATAGGATGTGACAATTTTAATCCCGATGGAATGTATAAAATATGAATAGTCCCACAGCTTTTAAAAAATGATCAAAAGTAGGATTTTTTCGCCTGATATATTATTTCCGGCCCGGAACGCCACGTGGCGCACATGTGGCTTATTTTTTACACGCTGGCATCCGACGTAGATAGGAAAAAATTAAAAACTAGTCCCACAAGTATAGAGGGGTGACATTTTTTGTCCCGATGGAATGCAGAAAATTCAAAGCTAGTCCCACAACTTGTAAAAAAATATGAACACGTCGGATGTCACGTGGCATTCCGGGCCGGAAATAGTAAATCCGGCAAAAAATTCCTACTTTTGATCATTTTTTAAAAGCTGTAGAACTATTCATATTTTCTGCATTCCGTTGGGACCAAAATTGTCACCCCCTATACCTGTGGGACTAGTTTTGAAATTTTCCCCACAAAAACAGATCATCAGTAACCTGAAAATAAAACCAACATCACAAAATTCTACAACAACAAAAAAAAATGTTTTTAATTTTTTAATTTTTTATTGTAACGAGAAAACACCTTACTGACCTTAGAAGAGTGGGAGATTAGGCCTGATCCCCAACATGTATATAATCAAGACCCTATCTGAGCCGGAAAAATTATAAGTCTACACATGTCCAAACAAAAACGAGAAAATGAAAAAAAAAATACAACAACCAGAATCAAAAGTCTAAAACCGGGCTAACAAGTGCCCAAGCGAACACTCAGCACCACAACAAAGCGGAAAACAACACAAAGCTCCTCAAGCCGGTTTCCAACACGATAACGCATAAAGTATTCGCCCTTTCCATCCCATCAAAAGCCACCGGTTATCCTCGTCCACCACAAACTCCCGATGGTAATATCTCCTCATCTTCGAAACCGCGCTATCCACCAACCTCCGGTCGAACTCCACTTGCTCCAGCCTGGCCCGCATAAGGCCTCACACGCATGGGCGATTCTTCATACATTAATAGGGGGCAATTGCCCCCCCTCAATTTTTTTTTTTTTTTATTTTATTTTTTTTTGCTATTAATATTAAAAATTTAATTTGCCCCCCTCTAAAATTTATTTTTGCACCCCCAGCCCCAAATTTTTTGTTTTCAAAAAAGTCACTTGGTAGGCCAACTTGTTAAATAAAATAATAAATTAAGTTAAATAGTTAATACTTAATAGACAATTAAATGTTTAAATCTAATTTTTTTTAAACGGACGGATATAGAAACTAGAAGGCACGTGACATATCCTTTGATCTATATGCTTATTACTTTAGCGTTGACATTGTCGGTTGCTACTGTGGAGAGAGCATTTTCTGCAATGAAAATCATAAAAAATCGACTACGCAACCGAATGGAAGATTATTGGCTTAACGCTTGTATGGTTCTGTACGTTGATAAAGATGTTTTGATAAAATTAGTAATGAAACCATTATGCAACGATTTCAGGCCATGTCATATTGCCGCGAACAGTTGTACTTATAAGCTAACTTTTTTTATGCATTTTTGTTATTTTTTAAAAAAATTATGTCATGTCTCTTGCCCCCCTCTCAACTAATTTTTTGGTTTCACCTCTGCTCACAAGCCACCACGTTCATAACCTCCTCTCCGAACACGTCCCTCTCGAGAAGCAACCACTCCGGATTCTCCGGCGGTATACTCGTCTCCAACATATCAAAAATCGACGAGTAGCTAAACAGAGCCTCCCTGAACCCGGTCACGAAAAACGGGGCCCCCCGTGCAATAAGAATTCCGATTTTACCCTCCTCCCAAGAATTCTTAAAAAAAAAAGTAAATAAATAAATAAAATTAAATGAAATAGGAGTTAACAAGGAAATAACACAGAAAAATCGATAAGAACACAAACGAGAACCCAAAATTAAAAAAAGACCCTTTAATTTAAAAATAAATGATTTATGAATAATGGGTTCAAAGAGAATTAAGCGTACCTCATGTGAAGTCAACGGAGCCTGTGACATTAGTGGGGTTCGGTGAATGGAAGGTTCCATGTCGAGTATCCGGAGCATCGACATTTTAGCAGAACAATTGCTCAATTTCTGGGGATTCTCTATCAATTCTCAATGCATTATTCGGGTTGGATTAAAGTGAACACTGACGCTGCATTTGACAATTACACGAGATTGAGTAGTGTGGGCGGTCTACTCCGAGATGAAATGAGGAGGTGGATCGAGGGCTTTCTTTTGAATACTGGTGTCTGCACCATTATGGGAGCCGAGCTTTGGGGACTCTTTCAGGGCCTGCTATTGGCGTGGGAATTGAGTTATCGACATGTTATTGCTGAGGTTGATACCCAATGCATCACGAAAATGGTGTATAGTGCTGACGTGGATATTATTTTTAATTTTCCTTTTGTACACGTGGTAGCCGATTAACATATTCAACTCAACAACCGACTTTTGTCGGTGGAAGGACTAAAAGTTAAATTTATTGAGTGTTTTGTAAAATGAACGCAACTATCAAACTATTTCTTAATTTGTTATCAGTTACAAAACTAAATTTTCATTTTTTCTTAGAAATGTTCATGTAAAGATGACGCAACTTAGCCAGATGAAATGTATTGATAAATGTGCTGTAATTTGTGATGATATTATGTTGTTAAAGTTGTTTTTTGAGGATTGTTTGTTTAAATGTTCTAGTGAACTTAGTTGTGTAGTGTAGTTCTTGACTTTGTAGGTCGGAAAACTATGTTTAGTTCATCTCATGTTTGATTTAACCAGTTGGTTAACGATATGTATAACTTTAAGTTATTAATATTATTTGTTCGATTGGAAAAAAAAAAAAAATGTATTGGGGAGATCTCATTCCAAAATGTTCGGTGGAATAAAAAGAATTCGTTGGCGGGAAAAGTCTAAGTACGCTTTTGCAGTTGATTGACTAACGGAATATTCCAATGACAAACTTTGCCTTCCAACAAGAATTAACGGAAGTTCAATTGCAAATGACTCATTGTGAATGAGCTCGAAAGTCAACTGAAGCAATCAATAATCGTGAAATTTAATCTTAGTTTGAGCATTTGTCTTGATTTATCTTCAAAAAAGAAAGATACAGTGGTTGAATATATTGATTACACGAGAGAAATTTTTATCAAAATTGGAATGAAACAAATCCCTCACAAATTGATCTCATTTGTGACTAATTGCTAAAGTACACAATTCACACATTTTGATTAGAGTAGTATCGACACTAAATCAAACACATTTTGATTAGAGTAGTATCGACACTAAATATATTGTTGAATGAAATAAGCCGCTCGTAAGCTCGGTTTGATTCGACTCGTTAAACCTCGAGCTCCAGTAGTTAATTAAGGTTCGTTACATACAAAAATATGATTTTTTTTATATACTTTTCTACAAGTCTGCCGGTTAATTAATATTGATAAACAAACTGAAGTCAGTAGAGCTTTTCTCCCAACAACCGGCTAGCTAGTGATTATATGTTGATAGTTAGAACGAAGAAAAACGAAACCTGAAGTTACCTAAAAGCATTCTCATCGACAGTTATGCGCTCCATTCACGAGCAGTAAAATTACGGATTATCGAAGAAAACCCGAACACATGATAAACGAGCCCTGTCGAGCGAGTCTGTCAAACAGCAGGTTTCCATAGAGATATCGCGTAAAACACCCGCCCTTTCCAGCTCATCAACAACCAGTGATGATCTTCGTATATCACAAACTCTTTATGGTAAAAATTCCTCACCTCGCGCGTAATATCGTCCATCAACTTCCTCTCGAAAGGGATTCCCACAAAACCGGCCCTCACGTTACGCACGTGCCATTGCCTATAAGTCTCGGGCCTTTCGACCCTCCCTAATCCCTCACAAGCTATCACATTGAACGCGGCTTTTCCGAATACATCCCTCTCGACTAGCATTCGTTCGGGTTTGTCCCGACCCATCATCGCTTCCATTATATCGAACATCGCAGAGTAGTGCGACAAAGCCTCTCGAAACCGATGGACAAAAAACGGCTTGTTGAAGGCCCCGTTGACCACTCCGTGCACGATGACATCCGGTTTGACTTTCCGTATCAAGTTAAGCACCGTGTCTCTCGATCTCTCGGTGTTGACCGTCTCGTCAGGAACGTTCTTCGCCCCGTCCGAAAAGTTGACCACCACGAAATCGAATTCGTCGCCATTCTCGATTTTTAGCTTCTCCAATGTCACGTCCTCCCATTTTTCGGCTACGGTGATGCATTCGAACGGGACGCCGTACTTCTCGGCGAAACGGGCCAGCCGAAGGCCCATTTCCTCGACTCTCTCTGCGGGCCGCGGGCCCTCGAGAGGGAAGTCGATTCCGGTGATTTTGAGGGACGGCGGCCCACTCCGCCGTTTGGCCAACCGCCGGATGAAATCCGGCCATTGGAAACCGGTCGAGAAGCCGAAATCGACGATGTGAAGCCTCGTGGCTTTACTCGACTTCATCAGTATCATTTTGTCGCACGCGAAGCGCGTGAATCTCATGAAAGGGGTAAAGACGACCGACATGCAATGGGCTTTCAAGTCGTCGGAAGGTTCGGGCATGCGCTCGAGGGATTTGAACCTTTCGCTGCTGGGCCCAGCCAAACGGGCCTCTAACCCATCCGAAAAGTAATGGGCCAATCTCTGGCTAGGGTTGCCGTAAGGGGACGAGTGGAGCTTGATTTGTTTAAGCAAGTTACGCGCGGCTTCATGACCTCCGTCGGCGATAAAATCGGCACAATTAATCAAAAGTGACGTCAAATCGACTACTTCATCGTCTTTCTTTTTCTTACTTCTCTTTTTTAGCTTACTTTCGCCACTCGGGGCTTCATTATTGGCTTGATCATTGTTAATCGAATCGACACTCTTATTGCTTTCCGAGAATTTCAGGTCGGCCATATAAGCTGCGAGGAGCTCTTCACTCCCGTCGAGTATATACTGCGAGACATTGCTTAACTCCTCGGTTATGTCACTCACCGCGGAGAATTTTTGCATATCCCTTGTTTCGAAATACAAGCTTTTCACATTTACGTTCTTATTCTTCATCTTCTTTTCACCGCAACTATTTCGAATTTCTAAAGAGAACACTCTATCCGCATAATCCAACACTTCGCTCCCAATAGGATGTGACCAACTAACTCCCCTGCCAAAATCCCAAACCACTCCACTCGATGAATCGGAAAGAATATCACTAGTAAGATAGTTATCGTAATTCGGGAGATTGTGTGAGTCCTGATTTGGATCGACTAAATGATTGTTGCTAGTCATTAAGTTGGGGTGATCAACACAAGAGTGATTATAATTATGTGCACTCTCAATAGATTGAACGTGAGAAGGAGATTCATTTTGTGGGGAATAAGGTGGGTATTTTTGGCCAAGCACCTCGTAAAACGAAGTGAATTTCGCTTGAAAATCCAATGATTCTTCTTGAAGCATGCATGCGCTTTCGTCAAAGTCCTCCTCCATGAGGATATGATCAATGTGACTCAAAATCCCAGACGATAAATCACAATTACCGGTAATATTATCATATTCGTTCGCGTTTTGAATTGGCTGGTCGTGAATAAAATGCGCCTTTCCAATACGTTGTTCTCGAAATGAAGGTATATCGGCTTCTACTAATTCTTGGCTACGAATATCAAGATGAGAAAATCCAACCGTTGGTCGATTTTCCATACGAAATGGATCCATCTCCTCAGCTACCTAAACACAGAGAAAGAGCATGAAAAAAAAAAATAAAAAAAATAGAAAAATCTAAGCTAAATTCGTTGGACTTAATAGCATTAAGGAGAAACTCTCCAAGAGAACAAGTACTCTATATAAGAATAACCATTGCATAAGTCCCATTAAAATTAAATCAATACTTCATTTCATTTATTATAATCGCAGTAGCTTGTTTGATTGCTAATCTCCTCATATTGTCACATTGTATCCGAAATAGAACGTTTTTGCGCAATCACAAAAAGGCAAAATTATAAAATATGCCAGACGACAGATTTATCCAGTAACTTTCTCGATTTTTAGAAAATACGCGGTAACTAATAAAAATCGAGCAAAACCCATCAAATCTTGCAAAAGAAGAAGAAAAAAATTACACACCAACTAATCTAAACGTAAAAAAATGGCTAAAAAGTTCACTATTTCTCGTGTTTAGACAGAATGTTTGCGATTTGATTAGTTCGATAGATTTATCCAATTGATTTCAAAAAATACACACTACTAATAAAGATCGAGCAAAACCCACCAAAAAATGCAAAATAAATAAATAAATGAAAAACTACACATCAACTAATCTAATTACAAAAGATGGCAAAAAACCATTGTTTGGGTGGAATGTTCGCGCTTTGATTAATTCGGGGTTTGATTAGTAGAAGTATGGAACCAAATGGACGTCGGCTTTATGTTACTATGCATATTTTACAAATTCTGGGCTCACTAAAGTATAATATATGCAGTAGAACAAAGGAGACGATCAACAAAACGCACCTTAGAATTAGTAAACTCTAGCTGATGGAGGCAGAGAAGGTGGAATATTCAAGGAATTTTGGAATAATTAGCGTACAATGATGGCGTGGATGTCACCGGTGAATTCACGCGGCGGCAACGGTGGTCCCAGTCGCCGGATTCGGTAGAAAAAAATTCTAGTATTTGAGTATGTTGTTGGATTCTTTTGAGTTATATAAATATTGGGTTAAAGCATTCTTACGTACTAGCACATGTCATCCGAGGAGAAAACTTCCCTGCCTAGTTAATTTGATATACTTTTAGTAAAAATATATATTTATATTATAAAAGTCATACGTGTGTATTTATGTCTACATCATTAAGAATTTGGACAGGACTATTGTGTCTATAAATTTACAAAAATCTTATTTTTAAATACTCAGTCTACTTCTATGGAAAACCTATTTGGAAAAAAAAAAAGTCTATTTAATGGTTAAGCAAGTTCTTGTATATGTGTCAATAAAAAAATATATATAACTTCTGTAAAGTATGATATTTAAGGTGAAATATGCAGATATATTGGAAAAATAGTACTGTTATATGACAATACTATTTATTACTAGTGCATGTACGAGTATGATGAAATATGAATAAAGCGCCCTTATTGCCACGTTTCATGCCCCTCTTCGGGTCTCCTCGAGTTATAACGCAGAGGTTCAGGTGCTTCAGATCGGTCTGCAGATTGCCGCCTCGATCTCCTCTCACATTTGGATAGAGTTGGACGCGGCCGCTGTCATCACTCTTCTATCATCTGGACATCAGGGCACGTGGCAGATCCAACATCTTCTCATGCGCATCAGAGCCACTCTCCAGTCGATTCGCTCCCGGATCTCGCACATCTTCCGCGAGGGGAACCGTCCAGCTGACTTCCTCGCTGGCATCGGGTCCTCAACCCCCCACAGACGCATTCTTTACCCTGACGATATTCCTATCCGCTTTCGCACCCTCATACGGATGGACCAGATGGGATACCCTTCATTCAGATTTGTGTAGCCGGACCTACCTTTTGGTGCACCCGCCACACTATGATGCTGACTTTCTAGCTGGGACTCTGCCCCGGAACATGATATGTTATTTTCATATTTCTCGCCGCAGTTGTCAACTTTTCTCTGTATTTTTTTTTTTACTTTGTTGTTTTTTGGTTTTTCGTTTGACTGGATGTATATCAGACATTGGACTTGGGTGTCTTTTCGGCCCACTTAGGGCATTTTATATACAGGTTGGGGGTTCGGCCTTAACCCCCCATCCTACTGGGGTGTTGGTTAAAAAAAAAAAGAAATATGAATAAAGAAGATATTTTTTTAATACTATCTTTTTAACCGGTTGGTCGAATGGAGCAAGGGCAGGTCGAATGGAGATCGAAAAAGCTATGGAGAGAAGAGTCTTCAGGTTGATGAGGACGTTGCAGGTCCAAATGAACAACGACATGTTGAGTTAGGACTCTCGGATGACCTGATTGGTAGGTTAATGGATCAGCCAGAAGAGCAGAGCATACGAACTTAGTACGGACAACACTCTAGCTCGAGGTGAATTGGGTCGCTCACACGATTAGACTGTCTAATAAGGCAGACTAATGGATAAGAAAGAATAATATTAAGATAAAAAAACACACATGGATAGGGCCACGTGGCCTAACATAATTGACATATCAGCAGTCTGGCAGTTCATCGGGGCAGTTTTGGGCAACAAGGCAATATATCCCTATATAAGGGAATGAGATATGCACATTCATATAATAAATTCTCTACACACTCTACATACAACCTTTACATACACTGCGTTCTTTATTTGTGGACTGACTTGATCGTCGGAGTGCTAACACCGGGAACCACTCTCCACCCATTATGTAGGTATACGAGTAGGTCAGAACGCAGATTCGTACCGTGCAAGGCAGGTCGAGGTCGTTGCACACCAACTGGGACTATGAACACAAGAAGAGAAGGAGACTGTAACAACAAATTTTATGGAAACATAAAACTTTTGTACAACTTGAATTTATTTCGATTAAACGATATGCGGGTACAATCTCTGTATATCTCCTCTGATTCTTCTCTTCATGGATTTGGGCTTGAGACCTTGAAAGATAGATTTGACGATTGAATCTCCTTCAGACTTGATCTTGCATTTATCTAACATTAATTTGGGGGTCGAATGACTTATTCCCGTATTAAATGTTAGGACTCGATTTGATTAAAGAAGACTTCTTGGAGAACTTATTTCTTTTATCTTCTTGAAAGAGAGATTTTGACTTGAATAACGTTGACTCGAGGGCTTGATAACTTGTTCCCGGATCAAACTCTATGTTAGTTGAACTTCTCAACGAAGGCGACTTGAATGTCGCTTGAACGTCGTTGATATTCGTGGATTGATTTGACAGGAGTGAAAATCATCTCTTTACTTCTTAGGGAAGAGTCGCCGCCTTTTTTTCTTCTTCTTGGCCTTCTTCTTCATTGAACGGACTTTGGCAGTTCGAATGCTTGGTTGCGGGTTGAACGCCGATCTTCAACTTGAATGCCCTTGGATCTTCAAGAGCTTCTTCAAATCTTCAAGAGGATTCTTGAGAGCTCTTGAATTTGAGTCTTTGATTCTTTTATGTGTCGGATTTCTTCTTTGATCCTTCTTGGAGATGGACTTGAACTTGAAAGACGATCTTTAACTTTAATGTGTTGGATCTTGAAGAACACCTTTGGATACTCGACAGAATTATTGAAAGCTCTTGGATTTGAGATTTGAATATTTTAAGGTGTAATTTCTGGCATTGATGAGAGCTCTATTTATAGGTGTAGGAGAAAGAGTCTTGGAGAAGAAGACATCAATTTGATTGGTCTTTCTTGATTTGATATAATATATTTTCTTATCCTAAGATTCTTTCTTATCCTAATATTTGACTTGATGAGCAAGAAATATTTACTTTATTAATTAAATATCATATTTATCGTGGGGTGTTGACTTTCACTGTACAAGTCTACGATCGAGCATTTTCAGCCGTTAAACCAAACTGGAGCCCGCTGCTCGTGAAACTGAAACCTTGACGAGCGAATCAAGAATTTCAAATGTGAAGTTCGGAGTGGAATTTTTTGTTGAATAATTAGCTTGATTGATCTGTACAAAAAGTAATCAAAAACAAGGTAGCTCATTATAGTATTGACTACAATGATAAGCGTGACTTTAATGCTGCTCTTTTTAAAAATAAAAAATAAAAATTCGGTCTAATGATGCTCTTTTCATTCCACGATTGACCCAGAAATTTGTGATCAAATTAATAAGAGTTAATTGTCTATAAAATCCCAAACATTTGTTAAA